GCTTCTTTTCCAACTATACGAGACGATAGGCCATTTTGGAGTGAATTTCGTACACGTATGTCGTCATAGCAACGAACTATCTGTTACTAAAACTAATATAATTTGAAAGTAAAGTTATCAAAATATATAAAAAAAACAATGTCTGTTGAATAAATCCTAAAAATACGTAGTTTGAACATGTCAAAGTGTTAAACACCTGAATTTTCGAAAACTGTATCGAGCCACCTTAAGTTTAATTAAAATTCTCAAAGTTAATAATTAACAGAATATAAATATAATTTGTTATGTCATATTGCATTCTTAATTACAAAGGTTTTATACGTTGTTTGTTTCTACAAATTTTGGCAGAGCACTAGTAGGTTTTTTGAGAGGTTATAGTCCGTCAATAAAGATAGGTATCGCAAATGTTTTACGCTAGATATGTCACACATACTGTTAATTTATAGCATAGTAATATAACATCCGGTTACGTTCGCATGCGGGTAAGGGCTGAGTCAACTGCTAATTCGAGTACTCCGAAGGCAAAGAACGTTTGAATTTTATCACCAATAGTGAATGTGACATTTCACATCTTTCTAGAACAGAATTTGCAGATATAATTGTTGACGCATGGGTACGAAGGAGCACTCAGTGGGTGGGAATTTCGGAGGCTAATGGAAAGGGCGGTATCATATAGTATAAATAGTCACTTCCACATGGCTAAAAAATTGTCCGCAAGATCAAGTTGGCGAGCTATCGGAAAGCTCGAGAACAGTAAATTCGGCATTTAATTGAACTCAGTCAGACAATCCCAAAAATTACTATTCAGCGTATTCGTACGTGGTAAAGAATGACCCGGACTTCGTGATTTCTCCAGGGCTTATAGACCTCCCTAATGCTGACGCGTTAGCAAGTACTAGCGCGCGCGACCCGCCGAAGCAAGAAAGTTGCACAGGCTTCCAAAAATATGTAACGAAAGGGACTCGCTGTATACGGCGTTGTACGCATTATACAACAAAAAGTTAGTGTTATACGCTAATTATGCTAATGCGCGTTTCCGGTCCAGACGAATACAATGAAACTAACATCGGTTGTCACTTCGATTGTCACTAAAGAAATATGAAATAATGGGCAACTAGGCAGCTTTTAAATCAGAACAAGGCTAAGAATAATTTGTTGAGTATGTCTAACAATGTATTTGCTATTAATGAAAGGGTTTGAAATTTATTAAGCCAAGTTTTGGATCGATTGACACTTTTCTACATAAATAAGTCTGATATATCATAGTGATATTTCTAGAGTTGAGTGTCAATCGATACATTTTATACAATTTATATACTTAGTGATTAAGTAGAATCCGTAATATATAAATACGCGCTACCTAAACACTTTTGCTTAGTACTTTATATTCTGAAAATTATTATGCCGCGACCATTGAAAGTTATATCAATGAAAATGCTATGTGTTTCAAAGTGACAACCGAGTGACAATCGAGCAAGTGTTCAAACCGTTTTATATTCCATACATATTTTCATGTCAAATATGCACAATCTTTAAGTGGTTTTCGATAACTTACCCTTGCATTTTATTCAGCAATAACCTAGGTCGATAATTAACCAGATAGATGTGTTTTATCTCTTTCATATAGAGCAGGTTTAATCTCTCAGCATACGTCCCTCCCCGCATATCACATCTGTTTATAAGCTCATTTATAATATACTGTTCAGTCTGTTAGGTTATGTTACATTTCAAATATATTGACGACAACAAGCACAGTATAAAAGCATTATATATGCCAGTGCAATTCAGTAAATATGCTATACTAAATGCTATACGATTTTCGCAAAACTGATATTCTAAAACACTCGGTAATTCAAAGATGTTAAATATGCTTTTCATTGCCTTTCAGACAATCAGTTTCAAAAGTATTGGGACAGATGCCACAATACCTTTGAATTTAAACAAACGACAATCCCCCAGCCCCCTGTTCAATGTTGCGTCCCATTTCTCGTCAGGTTTGATGTGTTTTGGTTGGAGCAACATTGATTGGGGTGGGGGAAGGGGGAGGGGAGCGGTATTGTGTGTAAAAAAACTATAATGATCCACTTACAAGCTAAAACTACATGTGTCCCAACAACTTCTGAAAGTGATTGTCTGGGCCCCATATGCCATAACATCATTGTACATCTCAAAAGTACAGGGAATAGAATGCTCTGCGAACGAAGTACTTCAGCTCCATTTCGTTCACAGAACATCTAATGACATAGAACAATTAAGTTTCATTAAAATTCTCAAAGTTAATGATTAATAGAATATGAATATAACTTGTTATTACATATTGCATTCTTAATCACAAAGGTTTTATACGTTGTTTGTTTCTACAAATTTTGGCAGAGCACTAGTAGGTTATTTGAGAGGTTATAGTCCGTCAATAAAGATAGGTATCGCAAATATTTTACGCTAGATATGTCACACATACTGTTAATTTATAGCATAGTACTAGAAGTTACTATCGCAAGGAAAATGCTGCCTCACCCCCAAGGGATTAAAGGCAGCATGCACAATTTGCTGAATAAGGGGCTGTTTATATGATCCCGCTTTGCCAGGAGATATGAGGCAAGATGATTTTGATGTGCTTCAATAAGTCACGATGCATGATTCAGCAAAAAATTTCACTATTTTCTAGAGATGGATTACGGTATAGTTAACTGTAAACGAAAGGTTGCCTGTTCAAGCATAATACTGTATAACCTTCTTGAACCACACGGTCCACACAATCTTCTCTACATTTGAACTAATTCTCTACATTTGAGCGTTTGAACTTTCGTTTAGCCTAGTGACTAATATTTTAATACATCAAAATCATCCCTTCTTCCATCATGCAAACAGCCCTTAAGACGCCTGTTCAGGAGGTAGGAAAAATGCAATTTGAATATCAAACATCTTGCAGAAAGTCAAAGGGCGGCTGAAAGTTCTAATTCTACTTTCTTGGCATGGGCGGTTTTATATGAATATCTTCAATGCTTATAACGTCTAGCTGTTGTATAATTATAATACGGTCAGTGGTGAAGGTAGCCATAGGAACAGGTCATGCTATGCAAGTTTTTAATGATTTGCATTATTCAAATAGATGCAGGTTTATCAGTATAGCATGCATATGGCCAGTTGTCATGGGCTAGCTTGCCACTGAATACTGTACAATGTTTATACAAAAATACTAAGGGCCTGTTTACATGGAGGCGAGTTACCCAGCAAGGCGAGTTACTCGGCAATGACGAGATCCCTGCTGTTATAGAAACCAATAGTAATCCCGGGTGACTGTTTACATGATGCAGCCAAGTAACTCGTCTTGGCAAGTTCCCGGCAGAAAGAGGTGGGATCTGACCTATGCCAGATGAATATTTTCCATGTAAACACTTTGCCGGGGTAACTCGGCCGCCTAAGATAGAATGCATGTGCTTTGCCATTGAAATATAATAGCTCAAAAATACATACGAATTGATAGATAAGTTTTCCTGAATTGCTCGGCGCTTATTAGCTTGTACGTTCACTATATTTTCTAATGTTTTTTTAGCGTTTCAAACGACTTAAATCCTTTTTCTGTTTTGGTGCCATTTCGGCATCATGCGGCAATCATGAGACAAATGCCGAGTAACTCGGTTCCATATAAACAAAGCACTTGTTTGTCCCGCCTGGGCAAGTAACTCGCCTTGCCGGGTAACTCGCTTCCATGTAAACAGGCCCTAAGTCGGGGTTTGTTCCAATTATTGTTTTAATGCCACCTTCAAGACTGCCCATATCACAGAAAAACCGAAAAATATGCTGATGGGTTGACAATATCTATTTGTTGACATTTCTAATTGTGAGCATTATCGAAAAATATAATACACTGTGAAATGTAGTGCCACAGCCAGATGAATATATTATATATATATGAATGTAGGCTGGTAGGATTATTTCATATTATGCTAACAATAAACACACAGTCATCAAAAATCAGTTGACATACTATTACATGTAATCATATTGCTGGTATAAAGTTAATATGTGCAGAGAACAATCCACACTGGGTTGCTCTGGGGATCTTATCACAGTAAGCCTGATTTAACAACATTCCACGTTTGTTGTTAAACTATAAACATCTAGAAATGAACACTATACTCATCGTCTTGGCACATAACAAACAAATATTAAAACTGAGTACATTGTGACTCGTAAATAAGGCATTATTGACGAATAGATCTGCCGGTAAATTCATGAAATACTTCAGAGCTCTTAAGTACTACATCTTGTCTCCTTGTATTTATAAGACATTATCAAATGTTCTAAACGACCATGCGGACAATGGGAATATTTCGGGCTGTAAAAAGCGCCGTTAACTCATGACATAAAAGCACATTGCTTGCCTCCAGAATGAACGCTAAACAGTTCATAACCCTGATGGATATTAGCACAAAGAAATAAAGCCATACTTACCTGGTTTCTTCGGGAAATGTTCGTATATTTTGCATCAAGTGCAGATCCAGAATAAGTTTGCATACAGCCATATAAATATTTTCTCGTACTCCCCCCGTCCGTTCCCCCCCGGATTTACGACATCTTAACAGACACAAGATCGAGATCTCGACAATACATAGATCGGCGCGAAAGACTGGTTCGAGTGAACTCTGGAGAAACCTTCATGTCAAGATTAGGAGTGCTGCCTTCGGCAGCAAAAACCCTTGGCATTGGATGAAAATACAAATCAATCACGCGTTAATTTAGAAAGCAATCAAGATCAAAACGAGTGGTTGAACCCTGCGCTTGATCCCCTAGAACTAAATAAGACAGACAAAATTTCCCACATAAAAAAATGTGAAATTAAGGAAGCGACTAACATTCAATACAATGATCAAGGCGAAGCTATTCGAGATGCCGATTGTTCTCCTGAACAAAGTGTCATACGCAGAATTAAACTTAAACCTAACACCAAATACAAAGGCCATAAAACATCATTGAATACAATTAATAGTCTAAAACTAATGGCAAACGGCACAACAGACGTCACACACTGCGACACGAATAACAGGATAGAACATAGCGATCAGGATCAAAGCGAAAAGAAATATAAACACAGTCTACCTAGCAAACAACCACACGAACCCCTAGAACCAAATGAGACAGACGAATTTTCATACAGAAATAAACCTGAAATTAAGGAAGCGACTAATGCTCAATTCAACGATCCAGACGAAACTAATTGGCATGAACCACCAAATTTCATCCAGTCTCTTTCTAGAACAAATACAAATAATTGCCTGCGGCCAAATCGTTCAAACCGTCGCCCTCCGGACTGGCTCAAATATTTGGACCTAGTCAACCAAATAACCAGAACCAGTACGTAATACCTGACTTGGCATATACATGTTTTGGTCCAATTTCTAATCGTTTGAATAATGAGTCTGAAACCATCCCGGTTAGAATAACCAACCGTCGACTAGTACAGATGTCTATTAACCAAAAACTCAGTCGTAACTTAATACTTATTCCAATAAGGAAAAACAATATATGTGAATCATCAATTGCCTATTTAGTTCCATCTGTACTCTTAACCAACGCATGTCATGTAACGAACAAAATAACTGAACTCTCTGGAATTGCCGCAGTCAATAACCCCTCCTTGATCATAATTACAGAGTCTTGGCTGAACTCAAACATCCCGGATGCTGCTGTGGAAATAAGCAATAAATTCAATGCACATCGTCGTGATCGTCCCACACCTGGTGGCGGTGTCTTAGCCTACGTGAATAACAAAATACCAACTACCCGCCTAAGAAATCTTGAAGAGGATGGGAAAGAAGTCCTATGGCTCTTACTTAAGAGGCAGTCTCTGTAAGAACCTCATGACCTCTTTGGATCAACAAATAGATTTCTTTCAAACTTTGTAGTTGAGATTGCCTTTATAAGGGTTGTTTCAAAATGCATTTTGTTTTCAGTCTAATTGCATTTTGGCAAAGTTCCAGGGGGGTCAAGTTGAGGGAAAAAATTACAATTTTTGCTGTTTCTCAATAGTTGATTTTTGCTGATTTTTAAACCTCTGTACATCAAACAAAAATAATCATAAAACTAAATCTTTCCAGGCAATAGTAGCTTTATATGTCTTAAGTAACAAGGTATCTATAAATTTTTCAAATTTGTTTTCTAAATATAGAAATGACATCATTCATGATAGACTAAAATAGAAATTTCCAAGTTACTTAAAAATGGGTGAAATAAAAACCCTAAAATTCAAAAGTTAGACTTGCTATGAATGTAATATTATTTGTATGGTGAGATTAAAGGTTGGTCTTACATAATATAAAATAAAATATTGCGGCCTGTAAATTTTGGAGGTACTACAGGCCAACAAAACATCAACATTTACGACTTTCGGCAGTTTGGAGCAAATAAGAACGTTCATGTTTACTGTAAACTCTGCTTTGAAAGAGCAAAATTTTACATATTATTGGACCTAGAACAGTGATGAACATTCGTTTGACCTTTACTGTTGTCTAAAGTCTTTTAGGGAAAAGCACTGACACAGGCATTAACGGTATGTATGGACGTAATGGACCGTATTGTATAAAAAATAAACATTTTCTAGCTGAATATAATCAAGACAAGTTATACATTTGCATCATGTAAAGACGTCCGTTAGTAAACAAATTATCAAACATCGATTTATGTTGAAGATTTATTTAGAAAGTCAAGAGAAAACCTACCCCAATATAATTGATACAAAGTATGCCTCGATCATAGCCTTGTCGTTCAATGACCCCGATTGTCAGTTGACTTATTATTTGACGTTCGTTAGCTTCCATTATTCTTTAGTGTTAATCACTTTCGATATCTTAATGATTATTGTAGACACAGTCTCGTATATAAATCGTGATTCTTCGTCAACAGGCAATGCTAGTCAATTCCTCCATCGTTTAATTTTACTCGTTTTGTTATTGTTATGGCGGAAGCCGCTGACCAGCTAAATAATTCGGCTGTCAAAACACGTGCAACATGTCGAGAATTGTTTGCTTTCACACCGAAAATTTACCGCGAGACTATTTCCACAGGTGATTTTTGACTTTTTAATTTTTGTGAAAACACATGCAGCTGAAATAAAAAAATATATCTAAATTTTGTATAATTTCACGGTTTTGATATTAACTTGCTTTCATATAAACTTGCTTGCGTGTTGCGTTAATATATAAGTAACTTGTGAATTACGCCAACGTAACGAATTGAAAAAATTCAATGTCAAAATGCTGAAAGAAATCTGCAGCGAATTAGAAGTATATATATATATATATATATATGCAAAACTTTATTATTATTATTATTAAAGTAATATTTTAACAGCTTCCATCTCATACGTGGTTCTCAGGGAGGTTCTGCAAATAAATTACAATATAACTAATAGTAATACGTTATAATATATCTTTCTGAAGTATATGTACTAGGAAATTACGATGTAAAAAGTAAAATAAGTCACTACTATAATCCAAAGTTCTTGATATGTTTAAAAGTTATAAGGAAATCGTTTTCTCAAATAGAATTGGGTAAATTGTTCCAATCCTTAAAAATGTAATCTCTATTTTAATGAAAATCTCTATTTTAGTCTGTCACGAATGAAACAGACTAAATGTATTTTTTCTAAATATAGAAACATTTCTATATTTAGAAAATATATTTTAAAAAATTATAGATTCCTTGATACTTAGGACATACCAAGCTACTATTGTGCGGGAGGATACAGGTTTATCATGATATTTGTTTGATGGAAGCAAAATTTTCCAAGGCTGTAAATATCTCTATCGTGCACAAACCCGCCCTGTACGTTTGACAGTCGAATAATTTGGCTGGTCAGCGGCCTCCGCCATAACAACAACAAAATCGAGTTATATAAACGATGGACTGATGGAGGAATTGACTAACATTGCCTGTTCGGACGAAGAATCAAGATTTATATACAAGACTGTGTCTACAATAATGATTAAGATATCGAAAGTGATTAACACTAAAGAATAATGGCAGCTAACGAACGTCAAATAATAAGTCAACTGACAATTCGGGACATTAAATGACAAGGCTGTCGATCGAGGCATACTTTGTATCAATATAAATATATTGGGGTAGGTTTTCTCTTGACTTTTTAAATAAATCTTCAAAATAAATCGATGTTTGATAATTTGTTGACTAACGGACGTCTTTACATGATGCAAATGTATAACTTGTCTTGATTATATTCAGCCAGAAAATGTTTATTATTTATACAATACGGTCCATTACGTCCATAAATAACGGAAATGCCTGTGTCAGTGCTTTTCCCTAAAAGACTTTAGACAACAGTAAAGGTCAAACGAATGTTCATCACTGTTCTAGGTCCAATAATATGTAAAATTTTGCTCTTTCAAAGCAGAGTTTACAGTAAACATGAACGTTCTTATTTACTCCAAACTGCCGAAAGTCGAAAATGTTGATGTTTTGTTGGCGTGTAGTACCTCCAAAATTTACAGACCGCAATATTTTATTTTATATTATGTAAGACCAACCTTTAATCTCACCATACAAATAAAATTACATTCATAGCAAGTCTAACTTTTGAATTTTAGGGTTTTTATTTCACCCATTTTTAAGGAACTTGGAAATTTCTATTTTAGTCTATCATGAATGATGTCATTTCTATATTTAGAAAACAAATTTGAAAAATTTATAGATACCTTGTTACTTAAGACATATAAAGCTACTATTGCCTGGAAAGATTTAGTTTTATGATTATTTTTGTTTGATGTACAGATGTTTAAAAATCAGCAAAAATCCACTATTGAGAAACAGCAAAAATTGTAATTTTTTCCCTCAACTTGACCCCCCTGGAACTTTGCCAAAATGCAATTAGACTGAAAACAAAATGCATTTTGAAACAACCCTTATAAAGGCAATCTCAACTACAAAGTTTGAGAGAAATCTATTTGTTGATCCAAAGAGGTCATGAGGTTCTTACAGAGACTGCCTCTTAAACCGTTCAGAACCCCCAGGGCCTATAGTGCGATAATAGTTATTGGTGTGTACTACCCACCTGGACAGACAATTGAAGATGAAAGAGCAATGTACGAGTATGTTACTAGCAGACTTGACAACATTTTGCAGGACCACCCTTCAGCTGTCGTAATTATCGCCGGAGATTTCAACAAAATGAGACTGAACCCACTATGTAGACGTTTCAACCTTAAAAAAACCGTACGGGCTCCTACAAGAGGTAGAAATATTCTAGACCAAATCCTTACCAATATGCCAGAGCTATGCAATGATGTTCAACATCTGCCACCGATCGGCCGTTCCGACCACCAGTGCTTACTGCTCACCCCAAGGTTGAAACAGAAGGTTAAACCGGTCTCCCGAAAAGTGCGCCTGACGAAATGTAGTAACCTAATCGAACTGGGCATACATATGAATAGAGAGAATTGGGAAACAGTCTACAATGCCAGAGAGGTTGACGACAAAGTAAGTGCGTTCACTTGTACTATCGTGCGCATGCTTGATACATCGCTGCCTAAACGCACTGTACGTGCCCACCCCTCCGACAAGCCATGGATGACACCGCGTATAAAGCATGAAATAAAAGCTAGGCAAAAGGCGTTTAAATCTGGAGATATAACAAGGTACAAACTATTATGTGACAAAGTTACCTCACTTGTATCAAATGCGAAAAAGAATTACTATCAACTAAAAGCAGAGGGTACACGCGAAACGAATCCGGCAAAGTGGTACAAAACCATATTTGAACTTGCTGCCGCTAATGACTGTAACTCTCAACCACCAGCTGATGATGCAGCAGACTTAGCGGAACGCCTGCAACAAAGCTTCACCAAACCTTGATCTGCTTTAAAGCTGCAATTCCGGAACCACCACATCTTAAAATTGGCGATGATACAATTGAAAGAGTAAAGTCATTCAAGTTGCTAGGCCTTTGGATTGACAATACCCTTAAATGGAACACCCACATTGACGAAATTGCAAGGGGGGCAAACAAACGCTTATTCTACCTACGGGAGTGTCGTCGAGCAGATCTACCAACTAATGTGAGTTTGACGTGCTATGAATCCAAATTAAGACCGGTTTTGGAATATGCGGCCCCAATTTGGGGTGGCCTGCCACAATACATTACTGACGAACTGGAGAGTATCCAAACTAGAAGCCTGAAAATTATGGGTCTACCTTCTGATTCTCTTCAATCTCTAGAACAATGTCGGGATAAACTTTCCATTCGCGAGTACGAGAAAATCATTATTGACGAAACACACCCATGCAGGAAGTACATACCAGACATGGTGACGAACAAGTATGACCTAAGAACACCAAAAACTCTTCCCGG